GAGTAAAAGGTGCTGCACACAAACATAGAGGGGCAGGTATTACAGTGCTACTGATGCCTGATGTGTAGAACGGAAAATGTGAAAGTCATTGAAAGTGAGGTTTGGTTGCCATAACATTCATTTTCTACCAGACAGTGGTCCAAGCACCTTAGGAAAATGAATCCACATAGTTCTGTGCTATTACTCTAGGTTGCAAGGGTTTGGCTCAAAGGGGATAGTAAAGTGGAAGGATACATTTATCTTGAGCTCATTTGATTTGCATGAAAATATGTTATGCAATTACCAACTTTCATCAAAGTTGCAGTCACAGTAATACAGAAAGGCAACAAAATTCATGTGCAGAGGAATATTTTCCTGACTTCTATGTGTGTATGTGCACGTATGCTTGTGTATGTATATATTTACATGTATCTGTACATATGTACATGTACATATGTGTATATACATATAAATATGTGGGTATGTCTTTATATACATATACGTATATAAAATTTCATATTTTCTCCAATAGCTAGAGATGATTATTATCATTTTACAGATGGGAAAGTTGAGGTACAGTAAAATTAAGAGACTTGCTTAAGTTTTCTTTAGTTTCTTTTCTTTTCTTTATTTATAATATATGCCAACTTCGTTACTTCCAAAAAGCTACTTGCAATGGCTTCAGTGCCATCTGGGGATAGTGATGGATGAGATGACTGGTCCAAAGATTCTTCCACTCAACCAAGTGGCTCAGAAGGAGAAGAGTAATGTGGTCAAAGAGTTCTTTATTTAAATACTGACCCTGCCACTTAACTATCTGTAACCTTGTGAAAGTCATATGACCTCTCTAAGCCTCAATTTTTTCATCTGCCAAACAGGGGATTAAAAGAAGGCCTGCTTTGCAGAGCTGATGTGAGGCTTAAATACGATAATTGACCTGAGAAGTTCAGCATGGTGCATGGCACAGCCACCATTTGAGGGCGATGAGTGAGTCTTCAACAGATCCTTGGCTCGGCCTCTGCTTTATTCAGGCCCGTGCTCAATACTATTTTTGAGAATAGCAAATTGACCTCTCTTAATAAAAGAAACATCATGGCTACTAAAACTCCATGGTAAGAGTATACCAGAGCATTTTTCTTTTTTAAGATAGAGGGATCTGGCTTCCATAGGAATAAAGAGAGAAATCTGTAAGCCCATTTGCAGTGACAGAAGAGCCCCACTTTGAACCTTTGTGTTTATGCGTGTCGTCATCTCTCCCTCTCAGATCTGCAGTTACTGCACAATGCTCTGCCCTTTTAGATGGCAGGGTTACAAGAATGTATAGTTTAAACTCTGCATTTTGCAAAGGATGAGCATTATTTTTGAGTCTGGGAAACTTCAAAATAATCTTATTGCCTTCTGTGTTTTATCTCATTAGGTGAAGGCAAAAAAGTTCTAGTTGTTTTTTTGTACTCATAGACAGCTTGTGTTTTAATTAAAACAAGAACCAGGCTCATGACCAGAGGGAAAAATCATGAAACACAAAGCCTAGAGTACATAATCAGGCTATGGCTAGAGAGTAAGAAGAGCAATTTTAAACTCAAGTATCTTTCAGTAAACATCTTTTTCAAATGTACTGTGCATTTTCCTCCCCCTTCCTGCCACTTAACCAGGAAAGAGGCTTAAGAGCTGTCAGAGGTGGAGGTCTACAAAACCCTAAAAGTAAAGGCATGTTTATGGGAGACTACACTTCTCTTTATGCCAGCGAATTAGCAAGTTGAGTACATCTTCATTTTTTAATGTTAGCATCTGAATAGTCTCCATTTAGCTCTTAAAGCAGTTGTAACGTTTATTGCTCCTAGTTTACCTAAATAAACTGAGAATAACCATTTCAAAATTTAAGAGGTTATCTCCACTGCTTTCCTCATGAAATCATTATATAAGAACAACACTATTCCGACACATTGAAGGTATTAAACCTGGATCAGATGGAACTATTATAAAATAATTTACCATGTTGAGGCCAGCCTGGTGGTGTTCCAGTTAAGTTCACTGGCTCCGCTTTGGCAGGCCGGGGTTGGCTAGCTCAGATCCTGGGCACGGACCTAGCACTGCTTATCAAGCCATGCTGTGGCATGCATCCCACATATAAAGTAGAGGAAAATGGGCACGGATGTTAATTCAGGGCCAATCTTCCTCAGCAAAAAGAGGAGGATTGGTGGCAGATGTTAGCTCAGGGCTAATCTTCCTCAAAAAAAAAAAAAAAAAAAAAACTACCATGTTACAGTGGTTGCCTGCCAAAGTAGAGCTTCTTTGTTTCATGTGGATTAAAATAAACCAGGAATTTTAGGTTCTTTAGAAACATCCTTGGTCTCTACCCATTAGATGCCAGTAGCACCTCCCCAGTTATGAAGATCCAAAGTGTCCCCATATATTGCCAAATGTTCCCCCAGGGAGTGGGTAAAATTGACCCTGATGAGGACCACTGCAATAGACTATTCATCTCGGAGAGGCAGTCAAGCATTGTGGCTAAAAGTAGATGTTACAGAGACAGAGTGCTCCTCACTAGCTGGGTGACCCCGGACAAGTTATACAACCCCTCCACGCTTCAGTTTCCTCATCTGTAAAATGAAGAAAATCATAAGCACCTTCTTCATAGGATTGTTGTGAGAATCAAACAAGACAGTGCCTATTGCACAGTAAGTGCTCAATAAACGATAGCTGTTACTATTGTTTCAACAATTCTATGCAATTTCACTTTTTTCCTTCTGATTTAAGTTTAAATGCAGGTTAAAGATCCAAATAAGAGGAACATATTTGAAAGGGCGAAAGGTTTGAGTGCAGTTACACAATTACAGATGGATGTCTTTATTTATGTTTCAGAGTGGTCAAGTTATAGAAGCTCAACTATTGCACAATCCTGTATCCCAATTTGCTAAACAGCCTCAGATATTGCTTAACATATTTTATTATCTTTCAAGTGGAGATTCCTAATTCATCAAAATTATGGGCTGCTGCCAGATGATTCTTCTGTAAATACAACTGCTCTATTGTATTTTTTTTAAAAAGTCTTGACACGATGCCTGGTCTTTTCCCTTGAGTTCTTTCTTCACCATTGGTCATATAAATATTATTCTAGCATTCATTGAAATAATAACAAAAGCTACCATTTTTAAGAACAACTTACTGTGTGCCAAGCTAAGTGCTTCACATGTATTATTATTTCACTCAATCCTCAAAACAACCTTACAAGTTAGGTGGGTGCGTCAGAGAGGAGAAGTTAACACGCTCCGGCCAGCAATGTCAGAACAAGGCAGGAGCCCAGACTGGTGCCTTTAAAGTCTATGCTCTTAAAATGTAACTTCATTATCAAAGCTCAGAGAGCTACCCAGAACTCCCACTCATGACACACGTTTCCCTTTCTAAACACCTTCCGCCCTGCCCACTCCTTTCACGTTATCACTATTTTCCTTGCTCTTCTCCACTCAGCACAAAATACCTTGAGGGAAGTGGTTAAAAAAGAACCATGCTCTGAACACTTTTCAGTCAAGCGCAGTGATTTAAAAAGAGATGAGAGTGACAGACAGACAGACAGGTATCGTGAGAAAGAAGAACTCACTTCACATTGGTCTTGAGGATGAATAAAAACTGTCTGGAAGCTGAAATAGGGAATGGCTGAATTCACGTTTCCATGCTACAGAGACTCACCCAAGCTTGTATAAAATAGGCAATTTGTCAATTCGTTCCAGTAACCCAATTCTTGTGCACAATATGCAAATTTTACTCCAAAGTAAGGAGTCAAGTAGAGGAATAACACTGATGCCAGAGGCATGTTAAAATAAGCTTTTCTTTTTGAGATACTTTCCAGTGATGACCCAAAGCTCCAGGTCTTGAGAGATCGATGAAAAGCAAGGTTGGAAATTGTGACCTTGGAGGTCTTGGGAAGAAAAGTTACAGCAGCCTTCTCACCACGTCCTCTGAGAGTTAGTCCGATTTGGTTGGGATGTGAGAGGCCAACATGTTTGCTGGTTGGCCTCTGTGGCAGAACTGAGCGTGTGGCCCAGGAAAAGTCACATGTAGCTCTAAGCAAGGTGCATGTAGACAACCCATTCAGAGCAGCTGTGAGTTAACCTGGAGGCTGCAGGAAGTTTGTGGGTGTTGTGGGAACTAAGAAGCTTATCGGCCCACAGCATTAAGCAAGGCCCACAGCATTAAGCAAGGCCTCACAGGTCAGCTGGTCCAGTCCTTATCAATGCATGACTCTTCCTCAATATTCCCAGAAAGTGTCCAACCTGTGTTTTGATAACTACAGTGACTGGAAGGATTCCTCTTATTGTTCATCAGCTAATAACTTGGGCCATCCTTCAGTCTGTATCCCCGTGAACTCTAAAGAATGCTGGCTGTAGCAGAGCCATTGATATAAAGAGAATTAACATTCATAGGGTTAATTATGTCATAAGTAACTCTATGAAACTGTCTACACTTTCACTTTACACAGGCACTTCATAAATGTACTCAATGAACCTTTTGTCTTTTGGTGAGGAAGACTGTCCCTGAGCTAACATCTGTTGCTGATCTTCCTCTTTTTGCTTGAGGAAGACTGTCCTTCAGCTAACATCTGTGCCAATCTTCCCTCCATTTTGTCTGTGAGATGCTGCCAAACACCAGCTTGACGAGTGGTGTATAGGTCCGTGCCCGGGATCTGAACTGGTGAACCCTGGGCCACCAAAGCAGAGTGCATGAACTTAACCACTACGCCATGGGGTGGGTCCCTCAATGAATCGTTTTGACAACAATGAAAGATTAGGAATGGGAGGCTCAGTGACATTATATGCCTTTCTCATCCAAGCTGACACACAATTAAGTGGGATTCACTTCTCAGTCCAGGAGGCCCCAAAACCACACTTTGTTTGCCACACAGGATTTCTGCTGTCAGTTTCTAAATCCAGTCGGAAGAGTTTAGGATATATAGACTGTAAGAGGTAGCCACGTAGGTGAAGGCAGAACCTCCTGACGCACTGCTTGCAAGTAGCAATACTTACAGATGTGTCATCACTGAAGTCAATTTCATCCAAATCAAGGTATTCAGGGGCTTCCATTATTCTTCTTTGCACATTTTGAGTAAGGCTAAATACTTATAAAGTCCTGAACAAGACAGAAGCAAAAAAGAAAGGCAAAAAGGTTAGCTGTTTTATAACCAAAAATCATATCTATACTTAAACAAACAAAAAGAGAAGGATACTTGAGTGCTAGTGTTGCCTTTGAGCACATTTCCTCTCTTTGAATGTCCCCAACCTGGCTTTGCAGAAGTGCTAAGCAGAGATCCTCCAGGATCCCCAGTATGGCTCCCCAGCGAGCACCCATGGTCCTTTGCTTCACTTCTTTATGCCTGCTTATCTTTGCTGGAACAACAGCTCTTCCCCGGTGATCAATATTAGGATTGACCCAACCCATCCCTAGCACTTAGCACACCCTGGGTTAAAGTAGGGGCTTCAGGGATGGGGATTAAGCCTCAAAATATTAGGAAAACCATATTCGAATGTTTACTGTGAGCACACCCTTGGATGCTGTGCATGGAGCAATGAATAATCTCCACAGTAATAACACAAGTACAAGACAGACACCAACTAAGCAACAGTAATTGATATTACAGAACTTGTAGCACAACCTCTAGTTCACCCCTCAAAAAAAAAAGGATCTAAGTACAGATTTAAACCACAGAATTATTGCATTGCCCCTGCTTCTAACAGCTTTGCCCGACTGAGTCCGAGTGACCTGATGCAGGCGCCAGAATGTCCTCAGTCAGCACTTGCCTTGGGGCTGCCTGCGGCAATTCTTTAAATCTGTCAAGGAAGATACATCACCTCCCAGTTCATTTTCCCATCACTTATCATCATCACCATTGGTGTTGGCGGTGGCACCTACAGATGTCAAGAACAGAAATATAGATCTTGTGGCAGCGCCTCGGTGTGTAGTTATCTTCCCCAGAGCCAACTCACAGACATCAAATAAGATTCCATTTCCCGTAACTTGTCTTCCCTATTATAAAAACTGATGTACTCAGACTTGACTATCTGAAATAATTCAGTTTTTCCTCTTTCAGTTCTCTAATCAAGGGGCACCTTGCTGAAGAATGAGGAATACATTATTGGAAAGTGAAAATAAATCTAGGCTGATGAAAATGGGCTTATCAACAAAAGAACAAGAATATAAAAACACCTATTTTTTAAAAGGAAACTCTTATTCTGAAGGCACTGTTTTCTTATTTTGAGATTTTTTTAAGCTACACAAATAGCGTAATTATAATAAAGGTGGAGAAAATCTCTTGCCATCCCATATCTCAAACCCATCACTTGATTTAACTTTCAGTGTTTCCTCTCTTTCCCTTCCCACACACTTATACCATTTTTACATATTTTTAATTATAGTAGATGCAGAATTTGAGTCAAGAAAGGATTAGGATATTACTACCATGTTCAAATGAGATTATCCATTTTGAATAAATGTTAAAAGCTCTTTTGAAATCACAGAAAAGTTTAAAATGAAAAACAATTTATATTTGTAAAATACATACATTATATATAAATATATAGAAAGCCAGAAATTTTATTATCTATAGAAATCTAAAAATAGATTCTTAAGCAAATTGCTTGGTACAAAATTATATCACTTTTCCTCTAATCCTCACAAAGCTTTCAGAGAAAAACACACACTCATACTTGCAAATTACTCAAAATAACTTTCTCTCCCATTCTGGTGGATTCTGAGACAATCCAGACTCTTTGGACTCCAGCTTGTCAACTAACAGACTTGCTTCCAATCCAATGTCTTTTCACTAAATCTGTAATCCATGATTAATTGTTGATTTACAGACAATTCCCATGGCTTTAGTGAACACAAAGATGAGGCTGGGTGTCAGGATGGGGTACAGACAAACACAATATCACCAGAAACATGGAAACACTTGGAGGACTTGGAGGATAGTGGTGAGATTCTTTATTCTATAGGCCAGAACACAAGAGTTACAACAGTTCCAGCCCATTACAAGAAGACCTGGGCGGCTGCTCATATTTATGTCAGTGGGTTAAGTGGTCCAGCCTCAGACTAAGGGGGTCCAAGGCATCCAGGACTCTCCTTTACTCCTAATGGGCCACCACACACAGCCATCTCTTTTAGGATGCTGTATTCTATCTATGACCTAATTTCTTCTGTCTGGTTTCAGTGCTTTACTCCTTCAAGGTGCCACTTTAAAACTATTACATCCTCATTTATAATGTGCAGAAATTGCTGTGGTTCACCATTCCTGGCCACCTTCCCAACACTGCTTCTTTTTAGTCGAGGGTGAGTCCACAGTTGTCCCAGTGGTGACTGCATTGCCTCCTCCTCCATCATCTGCCTTCCATTGAGCACCTGGCACCCTCGGGCACTCCTTTCTGAGGAACGAGGGATGCAGTGGGAAGGGGTGAGCCAGGTTAGAGCAGCTGTTGCAAGTAATCCAGCATGATGAGGAAACTGCCCTGGGCTGTGGACGCTTTTCTCATCCTGCTCTTATGGTACCACCCCACCCCCGACACCAGCCCACAATGGAAACCAGTGAGCCCCCTTTTCTGCCCAGGGACACACGGGCTCTGAGGGAATGCACAGCTACGGAGGGCACTCACTGGAGGCCCCTGAGCCAAAGCTGGCCCACAGATGTGATGTGTTTTGGCCCTAGCAGTGTTTAAAAAAAAAAATCAAGTCAGTTGCCAACTTGTAGACCTTGGGTGATTTCACATAAAATTCTGGATTTCTGGCTTCACTTTAAAAATATCTGAAGTTCTGGCAGCACAAGTCTGCAATCCCCATGACAACAATTGGCTAGAACTGAGCTGCAGCTGCCCCTACCTGTCTAGGAGGCAGGCGCTCCCCAGTTCACCAGCTCCCTCGGGATCTGCTCTTGGCACTGACAGCCCTGCCTGGCCTTGGGGGCATTTCAGCGTTGACCCCTCAAAGGAATTCAGTATTAAACAATAAGTACCCCCCCCTTTTTAATTGGTGCCTCCTGCCAAATGATGTTTACTTCATTTGTATTCTAAGATTGAATCTGTATCCTAAGATTGTTTTAAATTCTCATATCTCAACAGCAACAAAATAAAATTTCTCACGAATAAACTACCAGCATGTTACAATTTGTGCTTTTACAGAGCCTCCATTTTCTCTCTTATTACTAGAAAAAGAAAACCTTCACAGACAGAATAAAATGTTACGATGAGGTGAGGATTATGTTTCCTTCACTTTAGAACTGAGGGAGGGAAGGGTTCTTGCCCTGACGGTGATTGGCTTTGTGGATTTACATTATGCCACTTCACCATTGTGACTAGAGGGGAAGGGCGAAGCTGCGCCAAGTCCAAGCCCAGAAAAAGACCGAAGCCATCCTCCATTTGGCCAGACCAGCAGCTTGGATGCAAGAGGACCAAGCCTACTCAGAGCCAACAAGAGTGGGTTTACGCCTTAGTGAAAAACATTTCTCAGCCTCCCCAGAAAGGGCAGTCCAGCTTAAAATCTTTTACATGAGAACTTTATTGCTATGCATCATACTTGGCCTTGGGCCCCTCTGATATCTCAGGACCCAGTTATTTATAAATTTGCACTGCATTCCCACCCCATCAGCCCAGACCCTACAAGCTGCAGTCACTTGTCCCAGGTCCTCTGAGGTCCTGAGGGCTTTCTCTGAGGAAGGGTCTCCCTTCTTCCCCCAACAAGCCTCTTACAAAGTCTGTCTACCTTAGGTACTGTTGACTGATTGAAATCATTTCTTTTCAAACTCAATTGAGCTTTCAATTTCTTTTCACTGCCATTGGCAATTTTTAACTTGTTATTCATTTAGGCAGGTATGTTGTGTGTATAATTTTTTTTAAGAGGGGGAGAGATGAAGATGGAGATTGGGCAGAGGTAGGAGAGTAGAGAAAGGTACGGGAGACATTTCCAATGGTTTAGCTCTACCAATTCGGGTAGGAAAATTGATAGGGAGGGAAAAAAGAAAAATATTAGAACATGGGAACACCAGGCTAGGTGGCTGGGACCTGCATGCTGTGCAGAAGCTATTGGTGACAAATTGCCCCGTTTCTTTTGATGCACCCAGGGCACCAGGAGAAACTTCACCCAAACTCCAAATTGATGCCTGGTTAGAGGAGATGAAGAACAAAATAATGAGTATCAACTATACACTATGTCTGTAGGACTTTTCCTACCCTCACAGAGTTCTGACAAACTGCCAAGAACAGAAGTCCCTCCAGTGCCTATTAAAGTGTGTGGGAGGGGCTCCTGGCCCTAATGGGTCTATCAACACTACGTCACCTTCTCATGAATGACCTCAGTGATGGCCCAATTGCTTCCTTCAAGGGAAGATTCAATTTGGAAAGAGCTCAAAGTAACTAAGAGTCCAACTGGATAATAAAAAGTAGGCAAGCAATTTAGGAATAATCTCCCCCCTTCAGTACTATGATTTTCAGGTGCTATTTTTAATTTTTTTGTGTGTGATTTGAAAACTGACTCTGAAAATAATTCCAAATGAAGACTTCCAAAAATCTGTTGGGTAATGGCAGCATCACTGGAAAAAGCTTGGAGTGGCCAAGAAAATTTCTTTGAGAAACTACACTCACTTAATGTACACATTCTGGTGTGCTTGGCTCATAAAAGGCTTACTGATTTGCGACTATAGTCACATATCACATAAACTGCTCTACTGAAATTCTTCTTAAAATGAATTGCCTCACTCCATTTTACAAGGAGTCAGCATGGACTCATTCTGAAGGCTCATGTTACACAGATTTCTCCTTTTCTGCCAAAGTCACTATTGCTACATTTACCAGTATACTATGAGGCCCGGTAATTAAAAGTAAGTTGGGCTTGTCAAAATAAATGAGCAGAGTACATTCAGTGATGAGGTAACCTCAATCGATTTGCATTACAGCTTCTTTCTTTACTCTTTAATTCACCAATACTTGGGAAAACACAGCAGCTCCCTATACCCACCGACCCACCCACACACACAGAGCCACATTTGTGTTGGGATAAGTCTTCAGCTTGAAAGCCTGCATATAGATACTGAACTTACTTTCTTTAAAATGACAAGAGCCAAAAAAGAAAAATCACAAACTAAGTAC